TCTTTGTTGATGTTTGATTGTATGGTGTGATCATTTGCAAACTTATATCACACAGTAGTTTTAAACATTGATAATCATAGTTAAGACACGGAAGCTTATTAGTCGTGTCAATTTCATGAAGTTTGAATTTATTTAACAGGACGGCCGGTATTTTATTTTCTTGAGGATTTCTTTGAAGCATATCAACGTGCAATTTCTACTTGGAAGTTTAAAAAATTAAGTGACCCATTTCATATTAAAAGAACGTTTTGAGTCCATATGTGCGGTGCTGTCGACTTACTCTCCCCATGGCCATGTTGCTCCAAAGGAACTAAGGTTGCTTTAGTGATATGAATTTGAGAAGTTTTTTTTATCATGTTCTTAACTGCTGTAAAATATTGTTTTCTACTAATAATAGAGGTACTGCATATTGAGGAAATCATTTATGTTGCAGTCATGCTTAAAACTTGATCATTTCTTGAAAATTTAGATATTATAGACATTGTCTGATTCTATAAATTAACATTGCCTGATTCTATATGTCCCCAATTTATGTAGGATATTTGATTCTGCAAACAATGATTTTGGGGACCCGAAAACTGCTGGCTCGGAGTTAAAAAACAAGCCTGATGGCTGGGAAACAACATCAAAAGCTCAAGATGGCAATGTTTGGGATATGTCACAAAGAGGAGATATTTTTGTTCAAGAATTTGAACGCCGTATTGCATTCAATAAATTCAAGGTTCTTAGAGCTCAACTTAATTGTTATTGTAGTGCTAAGCTTTAACAGTTTAGTTGTAGAGTACTATTGATCCCATTTTTTTTCAAATCATACAAGTAATATACAACTTGTGAGATCTCTTTCTTCTCAGTTATAATTAGGCTAAACCTTAGTGTTAGGCTTTTTGTCAATGTGGTTTCCTTTATTCTTGTTCATTTTTTCTCATGTTTCCTGCATTTCTGGATGTGGGTTTCAGATCGCGAACTTCATAAAAACGCACATATTTAGCTGGAGGAGGCCCATTGATGGATGGAAGTACATGATAGAGGAAATAGGACCAAATGCGAGGAAGGGGAAAGGAAGTGTTTCGAGGCTGCCCAGTGTGTTGGAGGAATCCACTCAACCTTTCAGAGAGGAAAAGCCTTCCACTTTTACCGACACTTATTCTTCTTCTAAAGGCCGATCAAATATAAACTTTTAGCCTAGTGTTGTTTCAGTGTTTCACTGCAGAAGCTTTGCTTGTTTTGTCTTTACCTTTGAATGCCTCACATAGCCTCCATCTCCTCAATCTTTAGTTTTTTCCAAGTCTTTTGATTCGTCGGTCCAAACAAGAAGGTATTCGGCGGATGAAAAGACTTGGAAGAAGCTTCAGATTGAGGAGATGAGGCCTTTGTGAGGCATTCAGAGGTCAAGACAAAACACAGGCAAAGCTTCTTCTGCAGTCCATTTAGTCCAATTTCTATTAATTTGTGTAGATATCAAGGAGATGGGGGCTCCTTGATATCTATCCAACTACATTAACAGGTTGCTTGTCAATTTTTAAGTCTGAAATCAACTGATTAGCCTTATACATTGAATCCGATTATTAGTATGGGCATCTTGGGTATCCGACCTTTGCTCATTTTCAAATGATCTTTTGTAAAGATATGATTCCTTGGGAATAGTCAAGTCACATTTTACGAGTGTATAAATTGCAGCCTAGGTGGAAAAATGGTTGGAAAACTTGTTTTTGTAAGTTTTGATGGAGCTAACCAGGGTTCATTAGACATTGACATGTGTTAGATAGCAACGATATTTTCTTCTCAACTGAAACCTCGAAATTATGCCTTTTTCGTTCGTGTTCCTTTCTAATACTAGCCAATTTGAAAATGGCTGGTTCGTAGGCTATATGTTTTCTTACTTATCTTGTGCGGTATGTGTTGAGTTTGTCCAGTGGAAATGAATGAGCAAATTCAAAAAACTAACAAGTGAACAGTTATTAACCAAAAAAAAAAAAAATAAATAAAAAAATAAAAATGTGTCTTCAAGTCGTCAAAAGAAGGGCTGCATTTTTGTCCAAGTCGGACAAAATTTTCAGAGCATGTCCAGCCCTGCTTTATCTCTACAGATATGCGCTAAACTGGCGCAGAAAGTCCCTCCAACCGTGCGCTACAATATTGAATAGAATAATAAACAGTGTTGCGCCAGATAAGAGTAGAATAATAAATAGTGTTGCGCCACATCTAGTAATAAACAGTGCCAGATGAGAGTAAAATAATAAACAGTGTTGCGCCACCAGATAAGAATAGAATAATAAACAGTGTTGCGCTACATCTGGTAATAAACAGTGTTGCGCCAGATGAAAGTAGAATAATAAACAGTGTTGCGCCACATTTGGCGCAACACTGAAGGAGCGCTACATCTTCTCTCTCTCTTTTTTTTTCATTTTAATGTAATATTAATGATAAGTTTTTATATAATGTGTATTAGTAAATTTATTTTTATGGTAAATAATTTTGTGTAAAGTATTTTTTATGCTAAATAATTTGTGCTTTTTATTTATTGATGTATTATAATTTTATTTTACAAATTTTTAATATTAAAATGATGACAAATGAATAAAAATTTAACACAATCAAACAAGTAGATTTGAATAAAATCAAAAGTTTACAACACACGTAAATAAGAAAATACACAAATAAAAACAACATAATATTAAAATAAAAAAATACACAAATAAAAACAACATAATATTAAAATCAAAAGATTACAACACACATAAATTATAAAATACACAAATGAAAACAACATAATTAAAGATGACTTAAAAATCTACGGAACACATGAATAATATACATATTTTTAACAGATGACTTTAAAAAAATATATTTTTATTATTTGAGTAACAAACATTTATATAAGATTAAATATACATATACATACCAATTTATTTGAAATAAAATTGAATAAAAAAATAATATGTTTGATATTGTGTAAATTGTAGCGCAAAGGGCTGAAGATGGAAGTTAAATTTTGGCCAACTCTACTCTAGAATAGAGTAAATTTTACTCTACAATAAAGCAGATGCTGGAGATGGCCTCAGTGGAGATTTTCCTTTTTTTTATTCTTTTTTANACTAGACTAATGTCCTCCCCCCCAACAAGAAAACAACCTTGAACCACCACCACACGAACCAACACTCAAAACAACCAAGAGAAAAGCACTCGGACCACGGCCCAACACACAGGATCCATAAACACCCTTAATGGCTAACTGGATTCAGACCAATAGAATCGACGCCCTCCCAATAGTTCAACACTAGAACAACCTCGGGAGATCCTAGGCGCTGGTGAGACGTCGACGGTGTTCAGAACTCCGCGGATGATGAGGCCTACAGAAGACAGGTTTACGGTCGAAATTAGGGATTCACTGCTACAGTAAAAAATGGGGAATTATGTTTTAGCACCCTTAAGGTTTGTCTGTTTATTAATTACCAACAAAAAATTCAATCTCAACTCAACAAAAAATGGCCGAAATTAAGGATTCACTTCATTTTTAATTCACTATCACCTTACATAATTTTAACTACATATGACATTCAACAAATTTCTATACTACTTTTACAATAAATTAATTTTAATCATTTTATTTTAAATATTATTTAAATATTCTTCTAAAAATTAACCAAATCAACTCTTCTAAAATTAAACATGATTAACTAAAAAAATATAAAAAAAACTTGTTTTTTTGTTATATAAACCTTTAGGGGGTGATTGGATATGAATTCAACTAGTAAAAAACTAGTTATTTTGTAACTGTAGTTAAGTTTGGAAAAAGGTGGTATGGTTAGTTGTTAGTGGATATATTAAAATAATATTTAAAATAAAATAATTAAAGTTGATTTGATGTAAAAGTAGGAGAAAATGATTGGAAGTGATAGTTAGTTAAAATTATGTGAGTAGATGAATAGTGAATTAAAGTTGATGTGATGTGTAAGAATGATTGGTTGATATTATTTAATTATATTGATAATATTGAAGATAGTGGAGTTGAGTTAAAGTTGAGTTAAATTTGAATTTTGATTGGTTTTTTTACTGTACAATTTGTATCCAATCACCCCCTTACCGATTCACTGTCACAAAATTTATTTGTCTACAATCACAAAAACATACATCATTACAAAATGGCATGCTTATTATATTATCATGTACAAAAACAAAAATGGTATATTATGAAAAGCTAGTCAAACACCCACACTAGGCGACAGCCATCCGAATCTCGCTACGTGTGAATTGCAATGCTGAATGCAGTCAACCTTTTGACCGGTGGAATCTTATCCACAAGTTGTCCTTTGTAGTTTGCATTATTAACAGCCTGGCCCTTGTAAATTTTAATGTATATAATGCGTTGAGCTTAATTGGCAGTTTCGCACGCTTTAGAATTTTATTTAGCGAAAAAACATGCTTTGTATTTTGGTTCAAGTCCGGACATTCCAAAAATATAATTTCATAATAGTTTGACTAATATAACTCTTAAGTTATATTGAAACATTTGATAATAATATTGATTGATTAATATAACCTTAATTTCTTTTAGAAGTTCTCAATTGGCTCATTAATTTCTATGAAAACCTCAAATTAGCCAAATAAATAAATATATTTAATTTTAAATAATTATTGTTGTTATTATTACTTAATTTTAAAATAATATTCTTATCAAATACCCGTGTAGTACACGAGTATTGTACTAGTGAGATAATATAACCAAATTTCTGTCCGGGTAAGGTTTTATCTCCATTTTCAAGACTTCATATTCACATAATATAAAAATTATAAATAGAAGAAGAAATTTTATATATGTTTTTATTTCATGGATTTATTATCTTTACCGAAAATAGGGGACAAATGGGTTGTTTTAGATTTCTCTAAAAAAGCTAAATTTTATTTACAAAAATAAAATATAATTAATTATGAAAACATTTTCCCCAATAATTTCACTTATAAAGGTACAATCATTAGTCCACTCAACTGTAAACAGTGAGATTTAGCTTTAACAAAATGACTTCACTTTGAAATTGCAATATATCACTTTGAAATTGCAATATATTTTGGGAGAAATGTTACGGAGTCAATAGTTGACTCCTTTATGGAGCCAACCACCAATATTCCGTTTGAAATTATATGAACGAACTCAATTTTTGGGCTAATTCCATTTTTATTAAATCTAACTAATCCAACCTTTATCTCATCCACAGTGGTTAGTGTACTTTTTTAAAATTTTCATTAATTAATATTATAGGTTTGATGTTTCTAAAATCCAAAGTTATTATTATTACTTCTATTGTTTATTTATTTTATACATATCCTCTCTACATATTAAAGCAGGGTTTTCCAATACCAACTTTTAGTGCTATGTAATTCTAAGTGTACATTTATATGTTGATTTAGGGTACTCCATTTATATCTATGCTTTTATCCATACATTTAAAATTATAAAACACTCTCCAAACTTAAAATGCAAATGTATTTTGTAAGTTAATAATTTTTGCATATGTTATCGATTTTTTATATATCATATTAGTTATATCTTGACAAATTTCAATTTGACATTCATACTGCACAGATAAAATAAATAATTATATATATCTCTCTGATAAAACTAAATTTTTTATTAATATTAATTAAAAAATATAAATTATTTATCAATTAAATAAATTTATGTATAAAGTTATCATGATTTGAGTTAGAAAAATTATAATAAATAAGACGATTAAGTCATAGAAATGACGGATGTCGTTTTAAATGAAATAATAATGTAAAAGTAACAAACAAATCATAAATTTTAAACAAAAACTTTCTTTTTATATATAAATGAAAGTGTAATTCTTTTAAACCAACTCTCTCTATAATATACAAGTGATTTGTACTAGAAAAAAAAACATACTAAAATCCATTAAAGTTGACAAAATGCAAGCACGGGGTAGTTTATTTGATGTGACCGGCCAAAGGATATTTTTGGTCGTGTCTAATTAATATATGTGTATGCGCACACGCACAATTAAATAGAAAAGTTGCAAAATATATATATATATTTAATTATTTATACTCAAACTTTACTTCTTCTCCTTATCTCATCACACCTTCCCCCAATATATAATAAAATATAAAGGGGGGAAAGAAAATCTGTACTTTCATCATATATCATCTACTCCACCATTTTTACCCCAAGTCAAGAAAATTTAACCCCACTAATTTAAATTTTTCCTTGCAAATCAAACCTTATCATATCCAATTTCATATGGCAGCAGAATCCTCAAACCCACCAAATCTCAAAATCACAGTTCATAAAAACCCTTCACAGTCTCAACTGTCTCAACTTGGCATCAAATCTTGGCCCAAGTAATTTATTTTTTTCTCCACACAATTTATCCCTCATGGATTTCATTTCAAACACACACACACACACACACACTCACACAATTGTTTTTGTGTATATTAATCAATTTTTTCTAACTTNGATTGTTTTTATGAAGATGGGGTTGCCCACCAGGTAAATACCAGTTCAAATATGATGCACAAGAGACATGTTATTTAGTGAGAGGTAAGGTGAAAGTTCACCCCAGAAATCAAGAAGAGGGTGAAAGTGTGGAGTTTGGAGCTGGGGACCTTGTGGTGATTCCAAAGGGGCTGAGCTGCACTTGGGATGTCTCTATTACTGTTGACAAACACTATAAGTTTGATTCATCTTCATCTTCATCTTCTTCATAATCATGATCATATATAATTCATTTTGTGTCTTTCAATTCAAGAATGGCATCTCAAGAGAATGGAAAGGAAGAAATTATGTAGTTATTAGTCGTCTAATGTTCTTTTAATATATAGTTGTTGTCCTTTTCATGATGAATAGTCGTTGGTTGAAATTTCTTTTAATTATCTTTTTATTATCTTCATTTTACCAGTTTATTTATTGTAGTAAGGCAATTGTTACTCAAACTAACAGTTTTAATAGATATATTCTGGAAAAATATAAATTAAATTATAATATTTCATAACATAAGTATGCAAATTATTTTAAAAAAATAACAAGTTGACTCAATAATAATTTGTGATGTGGTTATTGTAGTGGTTTTCCTTAATTAATCGTAGTTTTGAGATGTTTCCATGAGAGGGTCTCTTCATTTGTTTTCACGTTTTATTTAACTCACTATTTCTTTTTTCTTCTATTTTGTTGTGTGTGTTTTAAAAATATGCATGGTGTGGGTTTGGAATTTGGATGTACGTTTTATTTTGTAGCTCGTTTGGGGCAAAAAATCTGTTTGGCAGTCAAGTCAAGGGAAAATTGATCGGTCAACCAATGGGCCCGTTCAAAGTAAACTACTTTAAAAAAAGTAGAAATGCTTTAATTGTAGCCTTTTGACTGGTCAACTTATTTGTATTTTAAACATGCACAGCCAAAAGTATCACATCCCTTTGATAGGAATTAGTTCATGCCACCCACGCGGGTGGCGCCCCGTTTCTTATATCAACAAATTAAAGAATAACATGTGGCAATACATTTGCTATTTACACACTCAATTTTGCAAAAGAATACAGAGATGAACTTTGTATAAGAAAATTAGAACACCACGAAATAACTAAAATCAATCCAAGATGTTGTAAGCAATTAGAAAGTGTACCTCAAGAATTTGGTTGTTATAACCCATATAAAAAGAAAAGATATTATAAATACAACAAGTTTAATAAACGATATAGACCAAGAAGATATAAGACATTTAGAAAACCATGGAAACCAATATATAAAGGCAAATTTAAAAAACAAAGAAAATACTTAGGAAAACCTAAATATTGTCCTAAAGATAAAAAGAATTGTAGATGTTGGAAATGTCAAGAAATAGGACACTATGCAAATGAATGTCCTAAAAATATGCCAGAAAAAAGAAAAGAAGTTAAAAATGATATTTTCTTTAGGTTATGAACCTATAGAAAAAGAATATGAAGAAGGCGAACTATTAGACTTTGATATATACGATTTAGAATCAGAAACAGATAGTGATTCAGAAACATCTGAATCAGAAGATGAGTAAAAACAGTTCATTTATAAAAGTTAAATTATTTAATAAATTTCTACTAGCATATATAGACACAGGAGCAACGATATATCTAGCAAAAGAATCTATATTACCCAGTAAATATGAAAAAAATTAGATAAGCCAATTATAGTAAGAATTGCAAATAACAAAACAATAACTATTGACTATAGAGCAACAGACTTAGTATTATTAATAGCAGAAAAAAGATTTCCTTTACCAAGTCTTTATAAGCAGAATAGCGGTTTACCATTAATAATTGGAAATAACTTTCTTAAATTATACAGTCCATTTATTCAAAGATTAAACAGTATAAGTCTTAGATGTCCACAACTAGATACACAGTCTAGTAAAATAATTACTACGAAAATATATAATACATCTTCTTTCATCAGGGGGGAGATATTAAGGAAAATTTCATTTCAAATTAAAAAGTAATAAGTATAACATTAGAAGAATATGTTAATCAACTATCAGAAAACATATGTAGTCAAAATCCATTAGATCCAGATAAAAACACGAATAACATGATAGTAAAAATAGAACTTATAGATCCTAGCAAAGAAGTCAATGTGCAAAATAGAATACCATATACAGAAAGAGATGTTAAAGAATTTCAAGAAGAAACTACTAAGATGTTAGAAAATGGTATTATACAACCTAATACAAGTCCACATAGTGCACTAGCATTTTATGTAGAAAATCATAATGAATTAAAAAGAGAAAAACGAAGAATGGTTATAAATTACAAAGAAATGAATAAGGCTACTAAAGGAGATGCATATAAGTTGTCAAGACAAGATTATATTTTTAGTCGGATTAAAAAGGCAAACTGGTAAAGTACATTTGATGCTAAATCAGGATATTGGCAGTTATGGTTACATGAAGAAACTAAACCATTAGCAGCATTTAGTTGTCCACCTCAAAACCATTATGAATATAATGTAATGTCATTTGGACTTAAACAAGCACCCAACATATATCAATGATTTATGGATAATAATCTTAAAGGATTAGAGCCAATAAGTCTTGCTTATATAGATGATATAATTGTTTTTACACAAGGATCAAAAGAAGATCATTTAAAGAAACTTGCAAAATTTTTAATACAATTAGGCAATAAAGGAATTATTTTAAGTAAGGAAAAAGCAAAAATTTGCAAAACAGAAACAGAATTTTTGAGAATGAAAATAGTCGAGGGAGGCTATATCGAACCTCAAAAACATTTACTTGAAAAAATACACCAGTTTCCAGATCAGCTTCAAACAGAAATCAAATTCAAAATTTTCTTGATGGTTAACATATATTGGAGAAAAAGATTTTATAAAAAGTCTTGCAAAAGAAATAGAGTTACTACAAAAAATGATTTCAGAAAAAGTACCATGGAAATGGACAGACAATGCAACTAGAGCAGTACAGTCCTTGAAAAGACTATGTACTCAATTACCACGGCTTTACCTACCAAAGCTTAGTGATTTACTTATTTTAAACACTGATGCAAGTCAGGATACTTGGGGAGCAGTCCTTCAAGTCCCAGATGCATATGAAGAGTTTAATAAGTTTATTGCAAACAACAAACCATCTGAAGTCAAATCCTTTATACGAAGGATGACTAAAGATAGTTTGGATGACAATAGTGAATCTAATGATTCTATGCAATTAGTATTGGGTAAAACCAATAGCAAGCAATTACTGTTATCCAAATGGGTATCAGGAACGTTTAAGCAAGCAGAACGCAACTATACAACACATGAAAAAGAAACATTAGCTTTTATAAATGCTTTGGAAAAATTTAAACTTGATTTACAACTAGTTAAATTCATTTTTCAAACAGATAATTTGTATACAAAAGATTTTACAAAATATCGAATAAAAGAATCTTACAACAAAGGCAGACTTTTAAGATGGAGTTTAAAAGCACAACAGTTTGATTATATATCTAATATATATTTCAGGAAAAGAAAACTACTTAGCAGACACATTAACACGAGAATAGAAGCACTTAGACCAGTTCTAGAAGATAGTCTAAAAATGCTGAAAAAACAGGTAGAAGAGCTCTTTGAGCAGATGAAAAAAGAAAAAGAAATTAGCCAAATAAAAGCCATACTATTCGCAGAAAAAGGCAAAGAAGAAAAGAAAGATGAAAAGGCTGAAAAATCAAAAGAAAAAGAAATAAATGGGGAAGAAAAAGAAAAACCTCATTTTGATGAGGAAGAAAGAACAAAAACCCATTATGTAATATTTACAGGTCCTAATCAAGGGATATTTTCCCAATGGAGTCAAGCATCCATGTTCATAACAGGACAGAATGTTATACATAAAAAATTCTCTAGTCTGTTCGAAGCAAAAGAAGCGCTAGCTCAGTTCAAAGCAAGCTATGCAGGAAAGGCACAATCACCGGCTACAGCAGCACAAAAGAAAATGCCTATATTAGGCAAGGTTCCAAATATCAGATCACTCACGATTGGAAGCATACAGTCTAAACAACAGAAAGAAGAAATGACCAAGCTCACTAAAAATATTTTTGACCATGAATTTAAATTTGTGGTTAGTTACACAGATGAAGATAAGAAGACAAGTATCTATCCAACTGACGGTCTATATCTTGGACCAAAAGCAATAGCCCTACCGGAAGCAGATCCAATGAAAGTATACATGATATTCCAATCAGGAATACTAAGTTGTATTTATTTTAGAGATACAAATATGTTCCAATACTTCCGACCAACATCAAGAAAGCAGTTTCCCAATACGGTAAGCACGTACTCTGAAAAAAGGAAGGATTCATGAAGATATTTGCCACCACACCAATTTTTGGTGAGGGGGAGAACTCGCAGAAAGTAATACAACCAGTAATTCAGTTTTGTCAAATTGGAGTAAGCAACGGTAATTACCCGAACATAGGAAAAGCACAACATGAGGATGACCTAATCCAGTTCTTAAACAATTATGTCATAATTTTAAACAAAGGAATTAGGATAAAGGGACGGATTAATTATGCAGCCAAGTCCATTATCATTTGAAGTATGCAAGCAAGAAACCCAGCAGAGATAGATATTAAGTTACTTAATAAATATCTGGATACACTAATAAAAATACAATTTGAGATTCCAGAAATAATCAAGAGAGAAATTTGCATCAGACTACAGAAGGAATTCACAGAAGATCACATTTGTGAAATATGCAACCCAGAATCACAAGGAGAGTTTGAACCTATCCTAAGCACTTACGTCAGGAGGTAATAAGAGAGCAGATAGTGGATGAGATAGTGGAGGATAATGGAGCAGATAGTGGACGAGATAGTGGATGAAAATGCAGGATCCCACCTTCTTTTTAAAAAATTGTCTTGTTGTAATAATAGATAGGACCTCATGAACTATGTAATGGGATGGTGAGTCACCACCCACACCCACTGAGGACCTATAATGTAAAGATGTCGGCCATGATGTAAAGAGGCAGAGTAATAACTCTTGCCTCTAAATAAGTGTCTCAAATTTCATTTGAGGACACAACAACTCAAAATAAAATCATTTCATATAACACTCTTTCTCTCACAAGATTTTTATGCTTTCATATATAATGAGTTTCTAAATACTTAGAAAATATAAGAAGAAAGATTAAAAGTGTTAATTGATTTGGCAATAATCTGTCTGGAGCACTGAAAGTTTTGTGAAAAGGCCGAAGCTGGTATGCGCGTCAAGGCTACTAAGTCCAGAATTATGTTGAGAGCAGGCGGAATCAGGTAACTCTCTTAAATCGAGTACTCTTATATCTATCTTATTAAAACTTGATTATCTATTTCTTAGTTTCTCATGGATAATAATAATTTTTTGAATATGCCATAAAGAGAAATATATAAGGATATAAATTGTCTCAAATCATTAATAGAACAAATTGTTTCATTAACAAAAATGTTAAAAGAAAA